GTTACTAACTCTATTGTACATTATGTAACTAAACAAAACCTTAGGCCTACTGAATGAGAATGTGTGGAGCTGAGACCTATGGAGTCTGTATTTGGAATGGGCTCCTCAATGATTCTGGCTTGGGAAACGTTGGTTTGTATTGACTGTCCTGACTCCTGCCTTCTTGTCAGCTGCTAGTGCAGCATTAGATGCTCCCTTGACTTTCCCTAGCTGGACCAATCTTACCTTCTCGTGTAGACTTTTTAGCTTAGTGTTCTCTTGCGTGTATTTCTACCTCTTCCTTCCCCTTGCCTGCAAAGGCTACTGTTAATTAGCAGCCATGGACTTCAAATGGGCATAGGTGCTGTTTATGAGGCAAAGATTTAAGTGGACACTCTATCTTCAGGGTCTTGTGAAAATGGCATCCATGATCAGTTCTGCTCTGTAGGTAGTCATAAAATGTGTATTGTGAACACATTTGGTTTTACCTTGGGTTTTCTTTTTTGTTTTTGTTTAGCCTAAAAACTCTTTATATAGATGATGCTTGGTATGTTGTTCTGTTTCTAAATGCTGAGATTTACCCCCTCTCATTTCTGTCCTAGATTCTGCAAATTACTAATCCCCTCTAAGCAGAAGAAAAATAAAAGTGACAGTGAAAAATCCTTGGTCACTGACATACCTGCTGTCTACAGATACTTAGGTAGCTACTAAAACTTGTGGTTTTTGTTGAAATTCATCTTATGGCAAGGATGGCCCCATTCCATTGCTTGAGTCCTCTAATGACTTCTTGAAAGGAAAGATGAAAAGTACCTGGTGTATCAGCCAATAGCCTGAGCTGTTGTTTCTTTTTTTCGTTTTCTTTTCTTTTTCCTTTTGCCATACTGGAGGTTGAATTCAGGGCTTTATAGTTGCTCTCGCTCTACCACTTGAGCCACTTCGCCAGCCCAAACTTTTGTTTCTTAATCTGAGGGATATTCCAATATATCGTAAAACACAGTCAAAACTTCATTAACCAGGCGAGGTGCCCGTGGCTTATGACTTTAGTAATCCTAGATATTTGGGAGGCAGAGATCAGGAGGATTGTGGTTTGAGGCCAGCCCTGGCAAATAGTTTTGAGAGACCCTATCTCAAAAATACCCAACACAAAAAAGGGTTGGAGGAGTGGCTTAAGTGGTAGAGTGCCTGCTAGCAACTGTGAGGCACTGAGTTCAAACTCCAGTACAGCAAAAACAAACAACAAAAAACTTCATTAACCAGTATGTTCAGAGAATGAACAAAATGAGGTCATTTTGTTTTTCTGTTTTGGGTGGCACTGGGGTTTAAATTCAGGGCCTCACACATGCTAGGCAGGTGCTCTTACTGCTTGATCCATTCCACTAACTTGTTTTTGAGGCAAGATCTTCCTGTGTAGCCCAGGTTGGCCTTGAACTCTTGAACTCTGTCTCCACCTCCCAGGTGCTGAGATTACAGTTGTGTACCACCACTCTTAGTGAAGGAGGTCCTTGCTAAAACTCTTTCTAAAATTATGCTAACCCACATAACTGGCTTAGTAATATTAAAGGAGGATAATTTTTCAGGAAAAGGTAAAAAAATCATGACTCATATAGATATAAAAACAAACACGTTAAAGATTTTATTTTACTAGTTAATCAGCAAGGGAATCAGACAAATGTTATATCTGATTTAAGGAAAAAGTCAGAAAACATAAATTTATATGGAGTAAAGGAATTGGATTGCAAGTGAAGGCAAAACTGGTTTTTCCACAGTGAGGGGGGAGGTCAATCCAAACTCTGGGACAAGACATATCCACAGTTACCTGCAATATACAGAGGTGCAAAATAAGTCAAAGATGATGAATGAAGGTAGAGTCAGGCAGCCCTCTGAGGTGTGCTGTAGGTGGTGCATAGTTTTTCCTATAGTAAGCAAGCATGCTTGGTACTTTTTTGTTGTTGTTGATTTTGCTTCTTGTGATTTCTCAGGGTCATCACCTCAATTCTGATCCAGAATTCAGTTCCATATAACATGCATTTACTGAGTACTTACTATGTGTAAGGTGTTACAGAAGAACCAGAGAGAAAAAAGAATCTTATTTCTTACCTCAAGTAGCTGATTGCCTGGTGGGGGAGACAGACGTGCCATGCCCTGGACTAATCACACAGCACAGGAGAATCAGTGTGAGGTTAGCTGGCAGTAGGAATTAAATGTTTGAGGAGAACCAGAGATGGTGGGGTTAACTGATCAGGGGCTGATGCTGGGGGGATAACACAATAACATTTAAGCTAGGCATTGAGACATGACAGCAAGAGGAAGAGGGGCACAAGGAGAAGCCATTTCAGAGCAAAAAAGCATTAGAGTCCTGAAACTGGATGGTCTGTTTAGGGAAGGGGTCAGGAGCTGACATGGCAGTGAAAGGATAGGACTTAGCAGAAGAGGAGACTAGAGAGAATGTTTGAAGCCTGAAGGCTGTGCTAAGAATGCTGGCTTGATTCTGATGGCTTTTGACGAGGGAGGGGAGGCCTGATCGAACCAGCGCTTTAGGAGATGAATTGATTGTAGAATCAAGAGATAGGAGGCCGAGGGAGCAGTTAAGAGGCCGGTGTAATATTCCTGGTGCGAGATGATGAGGGCTTATACCAGGGCAGTGACAAGAGGGGTAGAAGGAGAGGAGGGAAATGGGTGTATCAAGGCTTGACTCCTGATTGTATCTGAAAGGTGGGGGAGAGAAAGAATTGAAGAAATTTCCAGACTAGGGGATAGTAGTCCAATACTAAGTAAGATAGGAAATGTGCTGTGGCTGGGCATGACATGTAGGGAGCACTTTTATGGGAGCAGATAATGAGTCCAGTTTGAGACCTGTTGGGTTCAACAGGCTCAATGGACATCTTATTAACAGTGAGTTGCTGGGAGCCTGGAATTCTGGTCTGGGTCTATGGAGAGAGGTCAAGGCTAGAGATACAGATGTGGGAGTCCTCCGTGTACCCAGGGGTGAGTTGAAATTGTGGGAGCTCAAAGCTGAGAGAGAAGGAGGGGCAAGACTGACCTACCCAGGCAGGGAGAGAGAGGCAGTCAGGGAGAGCTGGAGAGAGCCCGAAAAAAGCTGAGAAAGAGGAAGAGGATGCAGACAGATAAAGATGAGAGGGAGAATAAAGGTAGAGGTGGCAGGGAGCAAAGAGTGGAGGGAGGTAATAGGAGAAGGATGAAAGGGAAGGAGGGGGAGAGACTGAAGAGGAAACCCAGGGAAAGGGAAAGGTGAGATAAAGTCTGGAGAGGCTGGAAGAGAGGGGGATGAGGTGGGGGAAAGAGAGAAGAATGAGGAGGAGGAGGAGGAAGGAGAGTAGGAAGAGGTAGGGAAGAGAGGAGGAAAGGAACTTTGGAAGAACAGAGGGGAAGATAGCAGAGAAGGTGGCAGACAAAGTGAGGTGAGGGCCAGTCCTCTGTGAATACCCAAGTTCTGGAGTGGGTAGTGGAAAGGAAGGGCTGCAGAGAAGCCACCTGGCACTCAACCAGGAAAGTCAGAAGAGGGGCAATTATGAACAAAAGGGACAAGGGCATCTGGATCATATGAGTGGCACAGAGATGGGGATAGAATGAAGTCTAAGAAGGGAATGGTCACCCATTCCCTTTGATGTCCACCCTTACCACCTCTCTCCCTCTGGGCCAGCCACACTGGTCTCCTGGCTCTTCCTTGAGCTTAGCAGGCAGCCCCCCCTGCCTGATGACCATTGTATATATATATATATTTTTTTTTCCTATTCCTGGACTATTCTTCCTTCAGATACCTACATTGCTTGCTCCTTATCTCCTTCAGGTTGTTGAAATGTTTCCTTCTCAGAAAGGCCTACCCAGATCACACTATTTGGAATCATAGCCCATTCACTCACACATTTCCCCATGCTCCTTAGTCTGTGTTATATACCTTATAACATGCTAAAACATAGAATGATTGAAATACATATTGTCCCTCTCCTCCTTCTAGAATATAAGCACCCTGGAGGCAGGGATTTTGGTTTGTTTTATAATTATTGAATCCCCAGTGTCTAAGACAGTGTTGGCACATGGTAGGAGCTCAGTAGATATTTGTTGAATGAATAAATAGTGTTGAGTATCAATAATCCCTGAAAATTGAAAATGGAACAATTTCCTGATGTGACTATACTTCTTTGGGACATGCAGAATAGCAGAAAATTCTAATCACTGTAGGGTTTTTTTTAGTAGAGCTTTGATGAATAAGGATTTTAGCAATAGGTTAACTTAAGAGTGTAAGGGTCTTAATACAGGCTCATTGGATAAAGCTAAAGCTCTTTTTCTTGATGCCTCTTTTTCTCTAGAAGGTGAATTGACTGCAGTGGTTGTTAGCAAGAGCTGGACATTGGCTAGTGAATGGGGCACCATCATAGGGATGGTGGACTAATGGAAAGGGACAAGGACAGAAGTCTGTGGTTCTTGATGGTACCTTGTTTTTGTTTTTTTGTGAACAGAGTACAAGGAATATTGCACCTGATTTGGAGGTAGTTTTCTACTACGTTAAATAGATGTCTTATGTCAACTTGGAGGGAGAATAGAGTACTTTTGCAGGGTGTGTAAAAAAAGCATGTTTCCTCTGGAGTGCTTAAACCAGCTACATCACTCAGATCCTTTGAAGAAGACCCCCAGTCATCTTCCATGCGCTCATATTTGGGCACAAGTCTCTGATTGTAGTTGCTTAGCTAAATGTGTGCAGAAAAATGTATTCTCATCTCATTTTCTATAATAGATTGAATTTCCTCAAACACTTCAGCATGTATGTCTTTGAAGATAATTTAAAAAATCACTAGGTGTTTAACAGTGTCCTGTCTCTACTGTGAAATATGGATTCCTGGGAAGCTGGTGTACCCTCTTCCTTATTTGGATCTTCATTTTCCATGGCAGGCTGGCTTAGGAGAATCCCCTTTAACATTTTGATGCTATAATTACCTTTATTCATATTTTCTTTGTAAAAGGTGGTTAAAGCAGCTATACTGTTCTGAGTTTTGACTCTTTGGAATTCCTTTTTCCCAGGTGGAGTGGCCACAGCAAGTCCTATCTGGTGGTGAGTGGCTGTCATGATCTCTACAGCACCGCTCTACAGCGGCGTACATAACTGGACCAGTTCTGACCGGATTCGCATGTGTGGCATCAACGAGGAGAGGTGAGGAGGTTTCAAAGGTGGCTGCTGCTGGCCTCCAGTGAGCAGTAACTGATCACAGTGGGAGAGCCACACAGTAGGGCCTTGGGAGGAGACTCTTGGTTGTTTCTAATTCTCCTGAGTGTGGCTGGGGCTGTGGAATTGACCTGTTCTGCCATGCTGTCCCTGTTCAGATGAAGATGAGGAGGTCAGAAGATGATCTTTGCTAGCTAGTATTTGTTTACTCGTTAAGAACAGTCAGATGTAGGAAAGGAGAAATTTGGGAGACTGCAATTTTTATTTCCCAAAGTTCGATGCTCAATGATCAATGTAAAGTATTTTCAATTCTTGGCCTAGGCCTGGAAGAAAGGTAGTTTCATCATGTAGCTTTACATTAGAGACTAGAAGTGGACATTCTGGGGGCCAGTGCTGTCCTTCCTCATGAGGCCAGTGGTTATTTATAGAGAGGTCCTTATGAAGTATCAAAGCAAGATGAGACTACCAAATACAGTTTTAATATAAACTTGAGAGTTGGTTATGCCTGCCTGATCTATGTGTGTATTTTCAGATCATCATAATATTTGGTTGACCATTTTCTGATCAAGTCCCTTAATGCACCAAAAATGCCCTTCAGTATTTGGCTTTCATAACATTTGGTCAAAGAGTCATGTGTGATGTCTCTGATGTCTCTCCCATATTAAAAGAAGGAATGGCTCTCCTGTGCTTACAGGCCTTTTGTTGGTAGTTCAATTCATTGACTAAATTCAGGTACATCAGATGAATCACCTAGAAACTGTAGGACTTTTCTTGGAATTTAAGATCTGGCATTTTTTTTGGTAAATCTAAGAAGCATTTGTATTTTGGGGAGGTAGAGTATCAGTAACTTAAAGGGAAACGGAATGAATGTCTATGTTTTCATATATTTTTTGTGGTGTTGGTAATGGAACCCAGTGACTTGTGAATGCTAAGTACATGCTTTACCACTGAGCTACAACACAGCTCCATGTTTTTTATCTAATTTTTTTGTGGCACTGTGGTTTAAACTTGGTAGGCAAGCACTCTTACTGCTCGAGCCACTCTGCCAGCCCTTTTTTGTGATGGGTTTTTTCAAGATAGGGGCTCAAGAACTATCTGCTCGGAGCTGGCTTTGAACCACAATCCTCCTGATCTCTGCCTCCTGAGTAGCTAAGATTATAGGTGTGAGCCACAGGCACCTTTTTTTTCTTTTCTTTCTTTTTTTTTTTAACAGTGCTGGGGTTTGAACTAAGGCCTCATGCTTGCTAGACAGGTGCTCTACCACTTGAGTCACTCCAGCAGCTAATATTTCTTCTTTACTTAACTGTAGAAGCATGTACTTGTCTGAGGTTAAGGCTAGGAGAATAGACCTTTTTATTTTCTTAAGCCATTAGTACCTGATAGCTTAATGTTTCCTGTACTGAGGAGTGAGTTAGAGATGGACTTAAAAGGAATTTAATTTTAGAATCCAAAAGTCAAGACCAAGAAAAATAAGACAGAATTATTTTGAGAGACAGCAGAAGAAAGATATTTCTCTGTGCATATGAGGTGTGTCTTTAGATAATTAGTAAGAGATAAGGCAAGGCAGGTTGGTGGTGTTAATTTGTGTGAATATTCACTGGCAGGTTATGTTAGTCTAGTTATAAGTAGTTAAGACTTGGATACGGAGATGTGGACCAGAGCCTTCAAGAAACCAGTAGACAAGTTGCTTTGGTTCATTGTTCACTCTGCATCTCTGCCAAGAAAGGAATAGGAAGTGGGCTCAAAATCTGATTTTTCTTTCTTTACAGACCTTTTTGAGGATGCTAAATTAGCAAATATGCCTAGTGGTTAAAATGCCCTTTTTCCATGCTTTATTGTTGACTTTTTTTTGTTGTTTAAGATATCTGTACAGAGAGTTTCATTATGACATTTCCATGTATATATGTATTATATCCCAAATTGGCTCATCCCCTCCCATTTTTCTCCTTTCTACCTCAGTCCTCTTCTTATGGTGACTTCAACAGGTTTAAACATTCCATATTCATGTACTTTCTATACAAGAATGAATATTGTCTCCTTCTTGCCACAGTCTAGGCTGTGCTACAGCTGATTTCCAAAATGCGATCCCACCTTATGTAAAAACCATCTTTCTCTGCCCTTTCCAACTTGTAGAACTTAAGAAATTTTGGGTATAAAGCTGCAACTGGGGGGTCATTATGTTGCCTGGCTTCCTCATCTGCAGTTGAAGACCACAGAACAGAACATGGGCTTTCTGCTGTCCCCTGGTAGCCAGCTCTAGCCAAACCTCCAGCTAAATGTACCTGCTTGTTTCCTAGCATTAATTCATTCTTTCACTCAAGAAACATTTATTAAACACAACAAAAGCAAACCAATAGACATGGTACATTGCTGGTGAATGCTATAGAGTGGCATGTACAGGTCCTGTCGAGTCTAGCTGCAAAAATGTCAAACTTCCTGGCAAGTAAGGGAAGGCAGTACTATTTGAGCCCAGGCTGGAGGGGTGAGTAGGAGTTTGAAGTGAGGGGCAGTAGGTTATTTCCCTGGGATATTGAAAGAGGAGAGTATATTTGGGGACTGCCCTGGCTGGATTGAAGGGGTCTTGGAAGGGCAGTGGGCCTCAAGGCAGGGAAAATCTTCAGGGGCTGGGAGGTAAGATGTCTTGTGTGTGCTGGGTTGTGTATTTCTCTTACAAGTAGTCCAGGCCCAACAGGAACTGAAAAAGGTCCAGTTTGACAGTACTTCTAACGTTTCATAATAGGAAAATGGCCCTGAGAGGTTGGGGCTGTTTTCTGGTTTAAGTTCAACAAGGCCTTGAGCATGCCAGTCCTCTGGTGGGAAGAAATGGTGGGGTTGATTTTCAGTCCTGATTAAAGCCTGTTTTGACCCCTGCTCTCTTTCTCACCTGTATCCTTATAACCTTGGCCAGTTGACCCATCTCTGTCCAGGTTCCCCTGCCCTGCAAGCCATTCCTGTCCCAAGCTCTTCCCTTGATGGAGCAGTTTAAACATTTGCTCAACTTTGTTCCCCCATCAGAGGATTTGAAATGTGGCTGCATTTTCCCAGAGCCTTGGTTGGGGGCTAGATACAGGCAGGGCTGGAGTAGCCAGGACCTCTGCTCCTGCTTCCACCTCCAGTTTGCCTGGCTCCAGGCTTTCTGGTGGCTGCTTGCTCACAAGAACAGGGCTTCTGCTTTCAAGTATGACTTCAGGCAGAGTGGGAGACCAGCAAGGGGGAGGGAGCATGTAGCTTGCTCCCCTTTGTATGGTCAGGAAGGGAAAGAATGTAAACAGTGCCTTCCCATGTGCGGTCGGTAAAGGGGGCTGCTTCTTGTTTCCTCTCACCACCACCACTGTCCTTCCCAGATCATCCCTGGCAAGTCTAGTCAGAACATGCTTCCCCCAGCCCAAGACTGAGTATGGGGCCTGCTTTTCAAGTCTCTCAGGAGCTGATGTGCAAGTGTGTTTTCCCTTTCCGGGGGGCCTCCCTTTCTTCAAGACCCCCGCAACTGCCTCTAAAGCCCTTGCTTTACAGTCATTTCTGTTTGTCACCAACAGTCATTTCCAGCAGTGAAGCCCTCCCACTTCTGCCAGCCTAGCTGTCTTTTAAAGGGGACAGGGCTTTCCCCCCCATTAGTCTCTTCTGGAGCCCTGAAAAAGGTAGAGGCCTTCGGTGATCCCCCTTGCCTCTTTTGCTCCTCTTGCCCCAGGTACAATTTGGGAGTTCCTGTTTTCAGTGGGAGGGAGGGAGCTCCTCCTTGCTGGAGGTGGCTGCAGACACCCTGACTGCTGGTAAGGTGGGGCCTGGCTTCTTCGGGGTCTGGCTTGGACCTCACATGAGGCTCCAAAGAAGGGGGACAAACCTGAATGCAGTGCATTTCCCTAAAGGGACACAGAGCAGTCCTGTGTGCAGGAGCCTTGCAGTGGCACTTATGTTGTAGCCTTATTCTTTGATCCACACCTTTTGCCACTCCCAGCCAGACTTCTGCCCTGTTGGTGTCCTCCCTAGGGTAGGGGGAGGGCATTCTTGCTGTACTGAAAATACCAAACATTGAGTGGGTTTTTGTCTTTTCTTCAACTTTACTTTCCTAGTCTGATCCTTTTTTTTTTCCCCCGTCAGGATGTACCATTTTCTAAGATTCTTACCTGAAAATTGGAGAAGACTTTTTGAGCAGGTGGGGGTACAGTTGAGTTTTCCTCCTTTGGGACCCAGCTCTCTGGCCTTAAGCCTTTCCCTCTGGGGTACACCAACATGACTTTGGGGTCTGTGGCCTTGAGGGCCTCCTTTTGGGATGGGAGAGAATGTGGATCGAGGCCAAAGGTGGATGGGGGTAGGTAAGGAGGGCAGAAGAGGGGTGCTGACTGCAGCTAGGTGGAATTCTAGAAAAGGGGGGTGGATGTTCCTTGGAGGGAGAGAAGTAGTGTCTTTAAAGTGCCTCTCAGCACCCAGTGACCCGGTGGCCTGAAATTAGTATCATTGCACATGCTCATAAATGTGTATGAGCTCTAGGCAAGCCCATCAGGTGAAGAGGTGATGATTCAGAGTTAGACTAGACCTGAAAACAGGATGGGGGCAGTGATTCGTTTTAGAAAGGGATTACCCATGTGGCACCTTTAGCCAGCTTCCCCAATGGATTTAAAATAAGATTGTATTTAAAAAGAAACAGTTTGTGTGCCTTTTGAGGCCTGTACTTCACATCTCTCCCCTTTGGGCAATGCCCTGTACATCCTGGATGGCCACCTTGATGGGTAAGCTCCAGAAAAAAAGTGAAGGTGCTGGGGTCTTCCACACTTCTGGCCAGAGCCCTTAGACAGCAGGATGAGCAACCCAGAGAGGGGAGTCTAGTCAGATCACCTTGTATCCTGGACCCCATGGCACTTTGTGATCCTCCTCAAGCCACCCTGGGAAACAAGACAGGAAGGTTTGTGGGAAACCAAGCAGGCAGAGGGACTTCTGGGGAAAGCAGTGGTGGCTCCAAGACTGAGCCTCATGTCCTTTCTCTGCTTGTGTTTCTCATACTAGAAGAGCACCCCTTTCTGATGAGGAGTCCACGACAAGTGACTGCCAGCACTTTGGATCTCAGGAGTTTTGTGTCGGCAGCAGTTTTTCCAAGGTAAGGGGCTATGAGTCATCACATGTTGCCCACCAAAGGGAAGGGATGAGCTTCCTGAGCAAGAGGGGACAGTATATTTTTCCCAGGAGTTGCTGTAGGTGGGACAGAAATTGGCTGACTTTCCTTTGCTTCTGCCAAGACCTAGTTAGTCAAATTGCAGAGAGGACCAGCAGTTGCCTCTCTGGGGACTTAGGACACTTGCACCAGCTACAGGGAGTTCACTGAGATGGGCACACAATTCTGTCATTGCAGGTGGAGCTCACAGCAGTTGGAAGTGGCAGCAATGCCCGGGGGGCAGACTCAGATGGCAATGCGACAGAAAAACTTGGGCACAAGTCAGAAGATCAGCCTGATGATCCCCAGTCGAAAATGGACTATGCTGGGAATGCGGCAGAGGCTGAGGGCCTCCTGGTGCCACTGAGCAGCCAAGGAGACGGGCTCAAGCTGCCCACTCCTGACAGCTCTGAGGCCAGCAACAACAGGGCTGAGTGCTCCTGGACTTCCCTCAGCACCCAAATGAGCAAACAGGTTGACTGCTCACCAGCTGGGGTAAAGGCTTTGGACTCACGGCACAGTGTTGGAGAGAAGAACACTTTCATTTTGGCAACTCTGGGAACTGGAGTCCCCGTGGAGGGGACCCTGCCTCTGGTTACCACTAACTTCAGTTCCCTGCCTGCCCCCATCTGTCCCCCTGCTCCTGGTTCAGCCTCTGTGCCCCCATCTGTTCCAGATCCATTCCAGGTTCCCCTCTCTGTTCCAGCCCCGGTACCCCATTCTGGGCTAGTTCCAGTCCAAGTTGCCACTTCAGTTTCAGCTCCTTCCCCTCCGCTAGCACCAGTCCCAGCTCTGGCTTCAGCACCACCCTCGGTGCCCACTCTTATCTCGGACTCAAGCCCATTGTCCGTGTCAGCCTCTGTCTTGGTGCCTGTGCCAGCGTCTGCTCCACCCTCAGTTGCGGTCCCCTTGTCCGCTTCTGCTCCTACTCCTCTCTCAGTCCCAGTTTCAGCACCTCCCTTGGCTCTGATCCAGGCTTCTGGGCCTCCTTCAGCCCCTACTTTGGTTCTTGCTCCTGTCCCCACTCCTGTTCTGGCTCCCATGCCGGCGTCCACACCTCCATCAGCCCCTGTGCCTCCATCTGTGCCGATGCCCAACCCAACCCCATCCTCTGGCCCACCTCCTACTCCCACCCTCATTCCTGCCTTTGCTCCCACACCTGTGCCTGCGCCCACCCCAGCCCCAATCTTTACTCCAGCCCCCACTCCCATGCCAGCTGCCACACCAACTGCCATTCCCACCTCAGCCCCAATCCCGGCATCCTTCAGTTTGAGTCGAGTGTGTTTTCCTGCAGCTCAGGCACCAGCTATGCAAAAAGTCCCCCTGTCTTTTCAGCCAGGGACAGTGCTGACCCCAAGCCAGCCGCTGGTCTATATCCCACCTCCAAGCTGTGGGCAGCCACTCAGTGTGGCCACACTGCCAACCACCTTGGGAGTCTCCTCCACTCTGACGCTCCCTGTCCTGCCATCCTACCTGCAGGATAGGTGTCTCCCGGGTGTGCTGGCCTCCCCAGAGCTCCGGTCTTACCCATATGCATTTTCTGTGGCCCGGCCTTTGACTTCAGATTCTAAGCTGGTCTCTCTGGAAGTGAACAGGCTCCCATGTACTTCCCCGTCCAGCAGCTCCACCACCCAACCTGCACCTGATGGGGTCCCTGGGCCTTTGGCAGATACCTCCCTCACCACTGCTTCTGCCAAGGTGCTTCCAACTCCACAGCCTTTACTGCCAGCCCCCAGCGGGAGCTCAGTCCCACCACACCCCACCAAGATGTCAGGTGGTGCTGAGCAGCAAACAGAAGGGACTTCTGTTACCTTCTCTCCTCTCAAGTCACCTCCACAGCTGGAGCGAGAGATGGCCTCTCCACCTGAGTGCAGTGAGATGCCCCTTGACCTCTCCTCCAAGTCAAACCGCCAGAAGCTTCCATTGCCGAACCAGCGCAAAACACCTCCCATGCCTGTATTGACCCCTGTGCACACCAGCAGCAAGGCCCTCCTCTCCACAGTTCTGTCTAGGTCTCAGCGCACAACCCAGGCTGCTGGCAGCAACGTCACCTCCTGCCTGGGCTCCGCTTCCTCACCCTTTGTGATCTTTCCTGAGATCGTGAGGAATGGGGACCCAAGCACCTGGGTGAAAAACTCTACAGCACTGATCAGCACCATTCCTGGCACATATGTGGGAGTGGCCAACCCAGTACCTGCATCCCTGTTGCTGAACAAAGACCCCAACCTGGGCCTCCCCCGAGACCCTCGCCATCTCCCCAAACAGGAACCCATCTCCATCATTGATCAAGGAGAGCCTAAGAGCACTGGTGCCACATGTGGCAAGAAAGGCAGCCAGTCTGGTGCCGAGGGACAGCCAAGCACAGTCAAGACCCGTTATACCCCAGCCCGCATTGCCCCTGGGTTGCCGGGGTGCCAAACCAAGGAACTTTCTTTGTGGAAACCTACTGGGCAGGCAAATATTTATCCACGGTGTTCAGTCAATGGGAAACCCACCAGCACCCAGGTTCTACCAGTTGGCTGGTCACCATACCACCAAGCGTCTCTGCTTTCCATTGGCATTTCCAGTACTGGGCAGCTGACTCCTAGTCAGGGGGTGCCCATCAGGCCCACCAGCGTTTCTGAGTTTTCTGGTGTGCCATCTCTTGGCTCCAGTGAAGCTGTGCATGGACTTCCTGAGGGGCAGCCACGGCCTGGGGGCCCTTTCTCTCCCGAGCAGGACACTGTCACAAAGAACAAAACTTGCCGGATTGCTGCCAAGCCTTACGAAGAACAAGTCAATCCTGTCCTTCTGACTCTTAGCCCTCAGACAGGGACCCTGGCACTGTCTGTTCAGCCTAGCAGCGGGGACATGAGAGTGAATCAGGGGCCTGAGGAGTCAGAGAGCCACCTCTGCTCTGATAGCACTCCTAAGATGGAAGGCCCCCAGGCAGCTTGTGGTCTGAAGCTGGCAGGAGACACAAAGCCTAAGAACCAAGTGCTGGCTACCTATATGTCCCATGAGCTGGTCCTGGCCACCCCCCAGAACCTGCGCAAGATGTCTGAGCTGCCTTTGCTACCTCATGACAGCCACTCCAAGGAACTCATCTTGGATGTGGTTCCAAGCAGCAAGAGGGGCTCCAGCACAGAGCTTTCACAGCTTGGAAGCCAGGTGGATCTGGGGCGGGTGAAAATGGAGAAGGTAGATGGTGATATGGTCTTCAATTTAGCCAACTGTTTCCGGGCTGATGGCCTCCAAGCAGCTCCCCAGAGGGGCCAAGCTGAAGCACGGGCTAAGGCTGGGCAGGCTAGAGTGAAGCGGGAAAGTGTTGGGGTCTTCACTTGCAAGAACAAGTGGCAGTCAGATGAAGTGACAGAATCTCTGCCACCTAAGAAGATGAAGTGTGACAAAGAAAGGGAAGGCGAGGAGCAGCAGCCACAGCAGCCACAAGCCAAGCCTGTAGTCCGGAGTTCCCTGGGATCCAAGGTGAGTAGCCAGTGCACAGGCTGAGATCAAGGGTGGAAATCCTGCTGTCTGTTCTGCTTCACTATGCAGATCTTATCTGTTTTGAGACCCCTCCCTTGGCACAGTGTTCTTCAGTAGCTATGTGAACTGCACTGATTTGAAGGCTTTCTCCTTTCTAATTCACATTCTCTGTATAGATGGTGTTTTCACTAAGGGAGGAACTGGCTTGTATTTTGTAGGATATAGGAAATGATCCTATCCTGGGAGCTAGGGAAGCCACTGTCCCAGATGAGGATGGAAACCAGAAGAATGTTTTGGTGAGGGAAGTCAGTTAGTAACAGGTTCTTCCCAGAGTAAACGCTCTTCCTTGCTCTTTAACAAGATGACTGACCACTGGCTTTGAGAACTTGAGGTCCAGGGAGAGAAGTGACCTTTGACAGGGTTATTCCTTTGCATTACCCGGGGAGCTTTCTTAGAATCTTCTTAAAGTTGGAGTCTTGTGGAGTCAAAGACCCCTGAGCTTCCAAGCTACTCCACTAGTTTCCTGGCCCTTTCCTGCTTAAGTTGGCAGCCCTGGGTTTTGAGACATTGAGAATGTGGTAGGCAAAGCAGATGTGCATTTGGGTCTTGGTTCATAGTAGACTATAGATAGGGGCAGAATTTTAAGCAAAAAAGTAAGCCAGGAGCACTTGACTTGAATCTACCCATGGGTCCTCAAAGGAAATATGGAGGCCACTGGTGAGCCAAGGAGATTCTTGAAACAGTGGAGGATAGAGTTCATTCAAGACTTGGAGCAATTTGAAGTTCTGTTAATAAGCCTTCAGGTTAGATTTTTTTTTGTGGAATTGACTCCCCCCCCTTCTTCTGGGCTGTTTCTATGCTTTTGGCACGTGAAGAATACCCTGTTAACTAAAAGCTGGGGTTTACTATCAGCTCACCACTGGATTGTACCAGTGAACAGAAAACTGGTCAGGTGCAGTGGAAGTTGACGAGGAACTGGGGTTTTTGAACTTGGGACTTCATGCTTACAAAGCAGTTCTACCACTTGAGCTACACCTCTAGTCCATTTTGCTCTGGTTATTTTGGAGATGGGAGTCTTGAAAACTATTTGCCCTTGCTGGCCTTGAATGGAGATTCTCTGAATCTCAGCCTCCCAAGTAGGCAGGATTTACAGGCATGAGCTACCTGGGACTGGCCAGATTGGATGTTGATACATACTATGAGATAGATTTCCTGCCAGAGTAGTTTTGTAGTACAAATTCTTAGTTTTGGACCATAGACCATTTTAAGAAGTTAAGAGCAATGGACCTTGTCCCTAGAAATATGAACTCAGAACTTTGCCAATAATTTCAGGGGATTCATAGACTTATTTCCTCCCCAAAACTCACCCATAGATTACAGGTTAAGAACCCCTGGGATATACCATTCAGAAGGCAGAAGCAGTTGGGTGCTGGTGGCTCATGCCCATAATCCTAGCTACTCAGGAGGCAAAGATCAGGAGGATCACAGCTTGAAGCCAGTCCAAGCAAATATTTGCAAGATCCTATCTCAAAAAAGTCCACCACAAAAAAAGGGCTGGGGGAGTGGGTCAAGATGTAGACCCTGAGTTCAAACTCCAGTACCGGAAAAAAAAAAAAAGAAAAAAGAAAGCAGAAGCAGGAGGATCACAAGTTTGAGACCAGCCTGGACTATGTAGTGAGACTCTGTCTCAAAAAAAGGAGGGTGGAGTCTGGGGGTGTGATTCAGTGGTAGAGTACTTGCCCAGCATGCCCAAGGCCCTGGGATCCACCCCCAGCAACACACATACACATACACAAAAATAAGAACAAACCCCTGGGATAGAGTTTGGGTGGGTTTTACTCAGTGACTTCACATCTACCTCTGTATGTCAGAGATATGCAAAGTAGGAACATAGATCATGACATACTAGAGGTATGACGTTTGGTCAGGTTAACCACAATCTGCCCTTGGTGGTGGTGGTAATAATAATAATAATAATAATAATAATAATAATTCATGTTATTAGAGTTGTTGCCCTTGAATTATTCCCATGTGACAAGTGCTTTCTGATACATTATCTAATTTAATCCTTACAGTAACCCTATGAGGTAAATGCTACACTCAATTTAGAGATAAGAAAATGAAGGAAACAGGCTCCAGTGTTACCCAAAGTTACACAGCTATTAAGTGGCAGAGCTGGAACTCCAACTCTTTGGCTCCAAAGTCTGTGTTCTTCTTCAGTTATGTCATACTTATGTCAGCTATGTCTCCTTATCTGGAACCATTTCACTGAATGTTTAGCCAGTGTTTGTTGAATGGCTATCTATGCCAGTCTTCAGACAGTGGGAATACATCTTCAGGAGGATAGTGGATTGGTGAGTAGGGTGTGCCTGGCTTCTGGAGCCAGGCACAGAACTTGAGTTTGAATTTTGGTCCCCACTTTTTCCTAGCAGTGTGTTACTGATTAGGCTGCTTAATCTCTCTGACTCTCAGTTTCCTCATCTATGCAATGAGACAATAATAGTACTTACTCATAGGGCTGTTGTGATGACTTAGTGAGATGATGACATGAAATGTCCAGTAGGCAAATTCCCAAAGCCAGAAAGTAGATTAGTGGTTGCCTAGGACTGGGGAGGATGGGGAATTGGGGGAGTGACTGATTATTGGGTATGGGGTTTCTATACATTGTGATGAGAAAGTTCTGGAACTAGGTAAATGGTCATAGTTACACAACTCTGTGACTATACTGAAAACAGTTGAATTGTATACTTGAATAAGTGAACCGTAAAGCTGGTAGGAAAAGATTGAATGAGATGATATACAAGTGCTTAAAACTCCCTGCACATAGTAAGTGCTGCTTGTGTTAGTAGCTACTTGGCCTCATGGAACTTATGTTTTATTGATGACTCAGTGATAGGCAGGCATGGCCCCTCCTATATGAGATGAACAGTTCAGTAGGCCCATTGACAAATGTAAGGGATAGAGAATAAAGTTACAGGATGGGGCTGCAGGAAGCAATACTTACTGCCTGTGACAACTTAGTAAATCTTTCTTCTTTTGAGAAATCAAATAATTTAGATCTTTCTTTTGTTGGGGTCAATTTTCCTGAGAAAGAAACTGATACAAGCAAGCTAAGATTGGGTTAATTCAAAACAGCCCCTTCCAGGGCATGCCGGGAATAGTCTCCTATCACCTGCATCACCTGCCCAAGGCATCTAAGAATCCTAAAGGGCCTTCTGGATCATCAGCAAAGAGAGTTGCACTTCACTTGATGTGGGGTGTATTTTATTGTCTTCCCATTCTTTAGAAAATTCTTTGCAAAATATTTCAGAACTTTTAACCAGATCATCTTTCACAATCCTCCTCCATCCTCCCAACTTTTCACATAAGTTGGAGTGCACAGTTTTTACTTTCAGTGCTGTCCTTGCAGAAGATAAAGACAGAAATCCCTTCTAGATGTTCTCTTTTACTTGTTTTTGTCTATCTCAGGAAGTAAAAGTTAATGATCTGTACTTGAAAGAGCCAGCTAAAAATGATATTCAGAAATAAATAGGGCACGCTCAAATTTATGTGCATTTAACTTTATTCCCCCTGACTTAAAGTGTTTCTGTGGTCATCCCTGAAGGTCATTTTCTTTTCTTTTCTCTTTCGTATTGGGGCTTAAACTCACAGGTGTTCTATCACTTGAGCCATGCCTCCAGCCCCCTCCCTTTTTTTTTTTTTTTTGCTTTAGTTATTTTTCAGGTAGGGTCTTGTGTTTTTGCCCCTGGCAGCCTCAGACCTCAGTCTTCCTACCTACAGTCTCCCACATAGCTGGTATTACAGATGTACCCCCACTGTGCCTGATTTATTAATTGAGATGGAGTCTCACTAACATTTTTTTTTGGCCTGGGCTGGCTTCGAACCTCTGTCCTCCCAATCTCTGCTTCCCAGATAGCTGATATCATAGGCCTCTGCCACCGAGCCTGGCCTAAGCAGCCATTCTTCATCTTCCTCTTTGCTCTCCAGTTCTTTCCATCTCTTTATACTTTGGTCTTAGGAACTGGCAGAAAACAAAGGAAAAAGGTGAACTTGAATTTTAACTTAGTTCTGTTGAATAAGAAACAGGACAAGTTCATACAATAGAGACAAGTCCTTGGAATCTGACTGATAATGAGACTCCCTGTGCCTGGAGTACTGATGTTGCTCCCCCACCCAGTATTCCACCAATAAGATATCTGCCATCTTTTTTTTTTTTTTGGCGGTAGTGGGCCTTGAACTCAGGGCCTCACACTTGCTAGGTTTGCTAGGCTTGCTAGGCAGTTGCTCTAGCACTTTAGCCACTCCACCAGCCCTGCCATCTTAACCTGGAGCTAGATTGTAATAATTTTCTAGAAGGTGAGGTGGGTCTGCTTAGGAGAAAGACAACCTGTGTTAGTTTTTCATTGCTGTGACCAAACACCTGAGAAAACAACTTAAGGGAGGAAGGACTTATTTTGGCTCATGGTTTCAGACCATCATGGTGAGGAGGGCATTGCAGAACAGAGTAACCAGGCTGCAGACGGTGAATGCCTGCACTAGCAGGCTTTCCCCTTTTCCCTTTTTTTCCATCTGGATCCCCAGCCTGTTGGATGGTGCCATCCACATTCAGAGTCTGTCTTTCCCCCTTGGTTAATCCTCTCTGGAAATGCCCTCATAGACTCACCCAGAGGTGTGCTTTACTAATCTCCAAGGCGCTTCTCAAACCAGTCAACTTGACAATGAAGATGAACCATCACACAACCTCAAGCAGGTTTAACGCTTCCTTTCCTACTAACACCTGCTTTCATTGTTCAGACCTTTTGCCTTTTCCACACTCCCTAGATACTAAAATACTGGAAATCCCTACTTTGCCCTAGTTTTTGTTTAGGGGCACAGAGAGACTTGAAAGTTTGTGAGAATCTGTGACTGTTAGGCTGAGAGTGTCTTTGCATGTGTAAGCACAGCCGTTATGTCTGTGGAATGACCCTGGCAGTAGGTGGGAATGGGACTGAGCAAAAGCAGCCAAAGGCCTGGCACTGGTGGCTCATGCCTATAATCCTAGCTACTCAGGAGGTAGAAATCAGGAGGATCACCATTCAAAGCCAAATAGTTTGTAAGACCCTATCTTGAAAATACCTAACATAAAAAAGGAGTGGTAGAATGGCTCAAGTGGTAGAATGCCTGCCTAGTAAGCGTGAAGTCCTGAGTTAAAGCCCCAGTACCATCAAAAAAAAAAGGAGCTGAGGAAGCAAGTAGGGAGGGAGACTAGTGAGAGCTGATGTGAAGAGATCCAGGCCGGGGGCCTGGGACCCCAAGTCTTAATTGCAGCTCCATGCTTTCTCACTGCCAGGTAAGTGGTAGCCCCTGAGCATGAGTACACATTGGGCTGTTTGTTGCCCTGGAAGTCATTCAACTTATCTTGGAGTCTCAGTTTCCTCATCTATTTGTTCAGTGGATATAATGCTAGCTTCTGTTAGTATTGTTGAGAGGACAAAATCAAATAATAGAGATGAGAGCCTTTTGAAAAGTTGAAAGTGCTGCAGAGTATAAAGTGGCCTTATTAACTACTCTTGGACCTTATCATTGTGTTTCATAAGTATGGGGGGGATGAGAATTTCTCCTTGTTGTGTTTTTCTTTTTTGCCTTAGTTGAATCTGTCTTCTGATACTAATTTACACATGAAAATAGACAGTTTTTCTTGACTTGCCTCATACCAGAATTATTTTCTGTTGGTGTCAATACCATTCATAGTGAAGTTATTTAAACAATGTAGTCATCCAACTTGCAGAAGAGGCTTTTTTTTGTGTGTGTGTGTGTCTGCCTGTCTGTTGCTGTTTTGGTATGGAGAGTATGGGACCTGACTTTTCACCTTTTTAAAGGACTTTGGGTGCATGTTCACTGGCTTGTAAATACAGATTCTGTAGACTTTTTAATGTGATGGTTGTGGTTGCCTGTGGGGACCAGCAAGGGCACTGGACTCAGTCCAGGAGAGGCTCTGTAGCCAACTGGAGCTCCTGATCCCCAGTATCCTGTTCTGGGCAGTTCACATCCATGTGTCAGACCCTAGGAGAACTATCTTAAGAACCAAAACTGACCTCAGACCTAACTCTTTCTACCTCTTCACAGTGCCGGAAGCTGCCCAGCGACTCCCAGGAACCCACTAAGAAAAGCCCCAGAGGGGCTTCAGATTCAGGAAAAGAGCACAATGGAGTCAGGGGAAAGCACAAGCACCGGAAGCCAACAAAGCCGGAGTCCCAGACTCCAGGAAAAAGAGCTGATGGCCATGAGGAAGGTAGGCCCGATGCCCCGACTGTGCTGGGCTTCAGAGGGATCCCTGTGGCATTTTGGTGGATGAAGCAGAACTCAGAGACTGACTGGAAAGTAAACCTTCTTAACTGGAAGGGAGATATACTTGACACCTCTAAAGTCAAAGACCAGGGAGGAGGGAACAGGAGCAAATTCTGCCCTGTACACCAGAATACAGCATACCTCAAAGGCCAAAGAAGGTGGTTTGCAGACAGACAGATGGCAGTCCTACAACAGAATAGCCACCCCATTTCCCTGAAGTGGATCCAGGCTCAAAGAAGAAACAGATTTATGAGGATAAATAAAAATAGCAGAATGAGGGGTTTTATTATGCTGTTTTGTCCACCTTTGGAAAACTCTTATTCTTAAAAGATAGAAACAAATCAGTAGCTAGCTAGTTAGAAGGGCTGAGAAGCATTCCAAACCCTTATTCCTAATTAGAGGAATACTTGACCTGTGTGCTCTGCCATAGATGATCCCTCAGTGCCCTCATCAGGGAGAGAATCCCAGGCATTCCTGACCACAGTAGTCCATGTTCATGGTCTTGCCCATCCGACATGACCTACCTCTTCTATGGCAGTTTTCCTCTGTTTGCTGCTCCCCACACCCATTTTCCTGCCTCACTACGATGTATTGAGGTTGGACTTCTCTGGGATGTGCTCAAACTTGGTTAGAACTTCATAGAGTTGTAGCTGCCTCCATGTCAGCAGACAGCCAGGCCTTCTACTTTCTAGAATGCTGTTGATTAGATTCTGTGCACTGCCTTTTTTTTGGTGTCAGCAAAAATGACCCAACTCCCAGTTTTCAAAACCCACCAGGAAATGCTCATTCCTGAAAAAAAATAGGTAGGTGATAAGCAGCATAAGGGGAGCTGTTCAAGATAAGCCAGGGTGACCATGGTCAACACAAACCCTTTCTTTATTTTCCCAACTGAGCCTCTCAGGTGAGCTTTCTGGTTGTACACACTAATTGTGCTATTTCTGCCTTCTGCACTGAAACCACACATCACTCCTTGGAAAAGGTTCCTTGGAAAAGAAAGCAAAGAGCAGTTTCCGTGACTTCATCCCTGTGGTTCTGAGCACCCGGACACGCAGTCAGTCTGGTGAGTGAGACTAAGGTGATGACCCATCTTGACATCTTCTATGAAAATACAGGTAGACATCTTGTTGAGTGATTTTGACATTGGCCCAGGTGGAGAGTTGGGAGTTTGTTTCACTGTGCCAAGATGCCCCCTCCTTGCAGAGAGAAGAGAGCCTCAGGTGGGGGCAGAGGGCTTGCCCACAGTTTAGGACTATTTGCTTACCTTTTCAGATCAGAGATTTGACATCTTTTGTTGGGAGGCACTGGTGGAAAAAGGAAAGGCCTCTGCCACGCAGGAAAGTTGGTTTTACTCCAAGCTTCAACACCTTATGATTATTGGGGCTCATCTCAGGCACAGACATTTCACCTTTGAGCCTCAGTCTTATTGCCCTATGTGATAGATATCATCAAAATTGGAAAGGGCATTGAGTTGTCAGAGCTGGCAGGATTACTTTCGGCTCTCTGAATTTGTGTTCGCCAAGCCCCAGTGTTTAAAAAAAGATAGTCCTTCCTGGCCTCCACTGTCTTCTACTGTCTTGTACTGATGGTACACAAGGCCAGAGAAGGTTGCCCCAATTCACCCAGCTTTCCATGAAAGTTCGATGGAACAGAGAAGCACAGCCCAATGTAAAGTCAATGATATGACATTCTGTTAACTGGCACTTTAGCACATGGCAAATGTGGTGCTAATTGGGGCTTGTAATGATGGCCTGGAGGCCTCACAAAATCCTGAAGTGTCTTCTGAATCATCAAACAGTGATTATATTATGGTCAGTCCTTTCATGCTAAACACATTGTACTGTATTTGATTCTTTGGAAATTGGTGATTCCTGTGGTAATTCTTTTTTTTTTTTTTTTTTTTT